CTCAGTGTCCATTAGATGATCAAACTTTAAAATTATTTATTAAATCTGTTCAATCTGAAAATGCACGTATTCAGCTTTTTTTAACCGAATTCCTAGATTTGTATAAGAACGAATATACATTAAAAAATATAGTTATTTCGCGAAAAGAAAAAATGTGGACATTAGCTTTGGAAATTCTAAGCTTATTCGAAAATCCAAATCAGACAATGCACAAATTATTACACTTTCCGCCAGAACTAAATTCTAACAGATATAATCTTTTATTTATGGCTTATGAAAAAGGAAAATTACGTATGGAGGCTCTTTTAAAACAAGAAGTTTATGGCACAGAGCCACGTAATACATACGGAAGAAGAGATCGTGAAGTTAATATTTATACTTATGATCAAATTCAAGAATTATTTACTCAAAGAATTACTAAATCTAAAGTTATGTCATCTAAACTCAACCCAACTCCTATCTTTGAGCCAATAAAAAGCCCGGTTGAGAATAGTATTCCTGATTTATCTTCTTCACAAAGTAATCATGACAATGAGGAAGGTAATTTGCCAAATTCACGAAAGAGAAAATGTAATTTCACACTATCTGATAAATTTTCTGAAAAAAAGGCCCGGAGGGTTACAAAAGATAATGAAAAAAGTATATTAGATGTTTTTGCTATGAAGTTTTTAAGTTCAACGCCTACGAATTCTGATATAAATGAAGTTTTGTCTCATCTTGATTCATCATGGGATCGTGAAAATGTGCTACAATATGTAAGAAATGCAAGAAAAAAATTTAAAGGAAAAAATTTAAATAATAATAAATAATAATTTTTAGAAAATTTATTAGTTTCACATAGTGTTATACGCGGATATAATTTATTGAATTACAAATTCATGTAATATGTCAGCCAAATATTTTTTACAGATGAAAAAATTAAACCATTGTTTATGGTTAATATAAAACCAACATTCATCTATTTAGATTTTTAAAGTATTAGTAATAACGCTATCGCTATGTATTCTCATATTATGGTTCAAAATTTTAAACAATCTCATTATATACGGATGTTGTAATTAGAGTGGCGTGTACAAATCATAACCTAATCGCATTAAAAATCAGTTAAAATATCATCACGTCATTTAAAACTATATAAACTGTTCATAATAGCTTTGAAGCACTTTTGCAATTACCGTTATAGAAAACCAGGAAATTATCATTCTTATAATTAAAGTACTTTGGATCACTAAAGGAGGAAGTAATTTTTAGTAACATTTAATGAAAATTCTGTGATAGTTTTAGATCAAGATAATTTAACTTTCGTGGCTTTGGATATGACTATAAATAATGAAAGTTATAGGAACATAGTGAACACTCTTATTTCTGCACCTAATTTAATATTTTGTTTTAAATATTGCTGATAATTACAAATGAAATCTAGGGAATTCTGGCTAATGCGAATAATGAAATAATTAAAGTAATCATAGTATAGACTAGCTTTACTAATATGACTATTTATTTTTTTAGCATGGTGAAAATTTTAAGAAGCAATCTAGCATTAGTAGTAATTCACAACTGAACGCCTCAAAAATAATGATTCAAGAAAGGTGTGCACAATCTTCAAGTTTTGATATAGATAAAGGCAGTACAAATAAAAAATCAAATCCTTCAGATGATTCAAATGCTTCTATTTCTGTAGTTCAACCTTTAAACTATGAAGAAAGTGATGTAAATATTAAAACTTTATTTAGTAACTTACTATAGATATTATTTTTTAATATTTAAGATGAAATTTTTAGTACCAATAGTCTAATGCAATTGAAAAGGATTCAGAAAATGAAGCACAAAGGTTGGATACTAGTATTTAGGTAAATTGCACAAATATTAAGATGGCCAAGTCAAAAAAAGAATTAATAATAATGGTTAAACTCGTTTTAGAGAAATTACTAATTGAAAAATGAATATATATTGGAAAATAGTTTTTGACCATATTTAATTAAAATTTTAAAAAAGGAATCATTACAATACGATGAGTATGTTGACTCAGAAGAATTAAGGTTTAATACTTCAAGGTTGACGAAGAGTAATTCTGGCAATTGATACTAATCAAAAATCAATGAAAAATTCAAAGTTTCAAAGAAAGTTAAAACAAATAAAACTAAAGTCAAAAAAAAATAAGATTAGAAAAGTCAATAAGGT